TTTATTTGAGAGAGAATGAGATAGAGAGAGAGCATGAGAGGGGGGAGGGTCAGAGGGAGAAGCAGACTCCCTGCTGAGCAAGGAGCCCGATGTGGGACTCGATCCTGGGACTCCAGGATCATGACCTGAGCCGAAGGCAGTCGCCTAACCAACTGAGCCACCCAGGTGCCCCGGGTGTACCATTTCTTTATCCAAGTTCCCTACTGACATATACTTAGGTTCTTTTTATTTTTCACTTTTTATTGGAGTATAGTTGATCCACAATGTTACATTAGTTTCCCTGCTCACTGGGGAGCCTGCTTCTTCCTCTGCCCCTCCTCCCTGCTTGAGAGCACGTGCTCTCTCTCTCTCTCATAAATAAAATCTTAGAAAAAATACTGATAGATATTGCAATCAGTTCTTTAGAGGATACATGAATTTACACTCTCAGCAGTGATTTTTTTTTTTTAGATTTTATTTTTAAATATTCTCTATGCCCAACGTGGGGCTGGAACTTACAACTCTGAGATCAAGAATCACAAGCTCTACTGACTGAGCCAGCCAGTGATTTATGAGTGCCTATTTCCCCACACCTTTGACAACACAGTGTTATAATGGTATCTCAGTGCAGAACTGACTTGCATTTCTCTTGCTATGTATGAAGTAGGTTGAATATATTTCCATATTTTTAAGATCCATCAGTATTTTCTGTAAACTACTGGTTCATACAATTTCCTCTTTTTTCTACCAGACTTTTGGCTTTTACTCACAAATTTAAATATATTAGGGAAATTAGACTTTGCCAGCCTAGTATCCGTTTCTTTTTTTCTTGGAGCCAATCTGGCATCTGTCATTCTTTTAGTCCCACTAGTTACTTCAATGCCTCATTTTTAGAGGAATATGGAGTGTCTAACATATCTTTTCTTTTTTTTTCTTTAAGATTTTATTTATTTATTTGAGAGAGAAAGAGTGAGAGAGAGCATGAGAGGGGAGAGGGTCAGAGGGAGAAGCAGACTTCCCACTGAGTGGGGAGCCCGATGTGGGATTCGATCCTCGCACTCCAGGATCATGACCTGAGCTGAAGGCAGTCGCTTAACCAACTGAGCCACCCAGGAGCCCTCTAACATATCTTTTCATAAACACTTCTCTGAATGGGATAACTCACCTTGCTGTCCATCTTGCATAGTTACAATAAATGGCTGGCCAATGCTTCCAGTAGGGATTGCAGTTTGGATATTACCCAGAGGGACTCCATCAGTCACTATGGTGATGACCCTCTGGCCTCCGCTCCCCACCACTTGCTGGATTGATGAGTCAACAGAATTTCCCTCTATGATTTCCTCTGAATTAGCTAGAGATGACAAAAATGAATTTGAAATTTCAGTGTTTTAAAAAATAGGAGTATAACAATTTCAGCCTCCTTGAAATTGATTATATCAGGGACAGGAAAACTTGAAAAAAGAAGTTAGGTTTAAGTTTCTAAAGCAAGCTCTAGTGAACAATGCTAAGTCAGAAGAGAAAAGAAAGTAGTGAATGCAATAGAACAGTATTTTCTAAAATGTCTTCACTGAGATGTTAACAGCTTTCACTAAGAGTGGGTTCTATGCACAAATACACTTTCAAAATGCCAGTTTATATATGTTTAAATTGTTTGTTTTGTAAGAAGTATCAGAAACCCCAACAGACTAATGAGCACTGTGATTCTCCAATAGGGCATAAGATATGCTGAGCTTCCCCAGCATAGTTGATCTTGGAATTCTTTTTTCAAGAAGCATCTTGAAAGACTAAATCTATGGAGCTTAGAAAAATAATTGCAGAATAGATCTATTTCTATAAGAAAATGGAGGTATTTAATAGTGAATTAACAAAATAACATGTCAAGTAGACAAAGCATTGATGAAGTCAAATGGCACAATGGCAGACACAAATGGCAAGTGGCTTCTCCCATCTGACAAACAATAATATTAACAGCAACTAACACTGACTACTTACAATGTAACCAGGTACCCTTCTAAGAGCTTTATATATATTATGTTGAATCAAAATTTTCAGTTTGGTAATCAAAAAAGGGGGAGGAGGCGCCTGGCTGGCTCAGTCAGAAGAGCATGTGACTCTTGATCGTGGGGTCGTGATTCAAGCCCCACATTGGGTGTAGATATTACTTAAATAAATAAAACTTAAAAAAAAAGATTTTCAGTTTGGTTAGTCAATATCCCCAACAATTATTAGGGAAAGAGTTCCTACTATTCCACTACAGAATTTCTCTATCTAAAGAGTCACAGGTAGAACTTTGTACTAAGTGGGATATGGACTATCCACATGAGACACATTCAGGTGGTTTAATGGAAATAGAGCATTCACATCTCTTAAAAACAAAGAAGAGTTAAATGTTATAGCTGAAAAGACCTCAAAAGATAATCTGATCCAACCATGCAACCTCAGCCAGAGGTGAATAGACTGAGACCCAGAGAAGTTAAGTAATTTATCCCAAATCAAAAAGCAAATCAAAATAACAAGCACGAGTTTAATATATTGCTTTTTCCTCTGCCATGCTGCTCACTCATACATGTTTGAGTAGAGATCTTTATGATTACTGCCAGTCGAAAAAACAGAATTGGAGGAATGTTCTCATCACCCAAATGTCAATGGCAGAAAGAAATCAGAACAATCTGCTTTCATTTATGATGAAGCAGACTGTCAGAAGGCTCCAGAAAGATTCCTAGATGACAATTTAGCCCTACCTATGACTATCTGCCCCTACTTATATGAAGCCCTGAGCCTTCTCCCCACAGGCTACCAGCTCTGGCTAAGTGACTTGAACCTTTTTTGTTCTGCATATCAGAAGGCCACTATATAGCATGTATCTGCCCAACTCCATTGGAAATGCCAAAATATCATCTCCAGTGAAAGTAAAAGCAAGCCACCCTGAAGTACACATAATATGACAATGAGAGACATAGCAGTCCTACGTATTTTGATGCTTTAAATACAACACATCTAAGCTGCTATTTTGAATCAGTCTATGATAGCATCAGTCAAAACATAACATAGAGTATTTCCCAAATAATCTGCTAATAGAAGACTAAACATTTCAATCTGAAGCAACTGGAGTCAGGGCAAACAAATTTGAAACTGCAAAGATACGAAGAAATAACTGAGCCATTCTCTAATATTATTCAGCCATCTGATTATATTGCTTAGTGATTTTTCTTTCTGATGCTCAATGACTCTACATTCCTCTTTCCTAGATGTCTCTAATTAACCATAATTTTTTAATATTTCATGCAAATTAAATCTGCTGGAAATGTAAAAACAAAAGAAGAAATGGTGATTCACCCAGCAGATATCCCTTACCCACCTGCGGCTCTGTGGGAGTTGGACGAGGGGGCTGATGCCTCAGCAAGAGCTGCAAGGGTGGCCAGCACTGAGGTGGTGGAATTTGACAAGTGTGGTGCTGAGGAGGCATGGGGGTCACCTATTTTGGTAAAAAAGGTAAATGAGGTCTGGCAGACAGAATAAATGGAGATTAACTAAAAATGGCTTTTATTAAATCAACACCTCAGCTTTTCATTCTAATGTCCTTCCTTTTCCTCTCCAATACAAACTGGTATAAACCAATGATCATGGTGTTAACACTCTTGGTTTAGAAAGGTTTTCCTTTAAAGTGGATTAAGGTAATATGCTTAGTATAGAGCCACTATATTCCCCACAGTTGCTCATTTTTTCGGCACTGACAGTGCTGAGCATTAGGAGCTAACAGACCAAGAGTGCCACCTACTCCCTAGGCTGGCTGTACAGAGCTCTCCCTGGCAGCAGGCGGTAAGCACACAAAGCATGCTCTACCCTAAACTAGGTGGTGCTGAGGGAAGAGACCCTGCAGGCTCTACTTAACCGTACTGCATCTACCCATCAGCTAGACAGGTGGGAAGACTCGGAATGACCTCTAATGCAAGGACAGTTAAAAACCAGACATTTAGTTTATTGAACATCAAAGAGTAGTACAACTGATTCTTGCTAAAAATAATTACCTACTTTAGTTTTGTCATGATGTGCTTTTTTATAACCTTTTCTTGTATCTGTGTGCTATTCTTACAGCTAAGTTCCAGGAGGAAAGTACATTAGATCTGGCAACAGGCATGCCTAACTTTATGAACCAAAAGTATTACTTGACAGTTTTGCATAAATTTAACTTTTATAAAATGAATTGCATTTCCCTATGTCTTTCATTATAATTTCAAAGATACTTTTGTGCCAGTTGTGAATTTATTGCCTCTCAGCTCCAAATCTACTCTTCTTTGCCTTGCCTTGTCACACTGAAGCTGGACCCTATCAATATTTCTTGACAGCATGAAATTAAGTTTTGTCATACAGAAGTAGTGGCTGCTCCCTATATTGGTTATTCCTGTATTCTTTTTTTTTTTTTTTTTATTCATTTGAGACAGAGAGATACAGAAAGAGAGAGAGAGCATGAGCAGGAGGAGGTGCAGAGGCAGAGGGAGAAGCAGGCTCTCCGCTGAGCAGGGAGCCAGATGTGGGACTCGATCCCAGGACCCTGGGATCATGACCTGAGCTGAAGGCAGAGGCTTAACCATCTGAGCCACCCAGGTGCCCGGTTATTCCTGTATTCTTTAGGGTTCTCCTCACCTCTTAATCTACTATTACTAATAATTTTTTTATAAATTGTACATGTTTGTTTAGGTATCTTAGAAATTATACATATTATATATTATAATAAAATTATACAAATCACCATGTAGTTTTGTCTCCGGACTGGACTCTGAGTGATACACTTATCTTCTTTTTAAATGTACTCTTAATTTTTTTTTTAAGATTCTATTTTTTTAAGTAAGCTCTACACCTAATGTGGGGCTCAAACTCACAACCCGAATATCGAGAGTTGCACGCTTCACTGACTGAGCCAGCCAGGCGCCCCTCTTAATTTTTTTTAAAGATTTACTTATTTGAGAGAGAGAGCGTGTGCGCATGTGAGGGACAGAGGGAGAAAGAGAATCTCAAGCAGATTCCACACTGAGCACGAGCCTGATGTGGGGCTTGATCCCACAATCCATGAGATCATGACCTGAGCCAAAACCAGGAGCCGGATGCTTAACCAATTGAGCCGCCCAGGTGCTCCTTAATTTTTTTTAAGATTTTATTTTTAAGGTTTTTATATTTAAGATATATTTTTAAGATTATATTTTAATCTCTACACCCTATGTGGGGCTTGAACTTACAACCACAAGATCAAGAGTTGCATGCTTTACTGACTAAGCCAGGTAGGTGCCCCAATGTACTCTCAATTTTTGTTTTCCCACTAACTATGCTTAAAGATTCTTTGCAGCCTTTTGTCTATCAAAAAGCCAGTTATCTGTACAATACTTAAAAATACTTAAGGAAATTCCTTTTTAACACTTCTTATAATAAATCCATCCAAAGAGCAAAGAATTCTTTTCTGATATGATTAATGTAGGTAATTTAACTGGTTTATAAATTTAAATTTCAAAAAGTAGATTACTTGTATAGTACTCCTAATAGCTACAAACTATCTTCTTTTAAGTTTATTATTATTTTTTCAGTAATCTCTACACCCACTGTGGGGTGTGAACTCACAACCCTGAAATCAAAAGTTGTATGCTCTACAGTCTGAGCCAGCCAGGTGCCCCAACTACAAATGATCTTAATCCAGCTTCTGGATGAGAGTGGCAGTGGGGGATTACAGTGGAGATAGTGATGATAACTCTGTTTTATTCTAATTTTCTCATAAAATACTCAGGGAACCAAACAGTCTGAGTGGAACACAGTGCCTGACCTCCAGAAAGGAATCTATGTCTATCCAATGACTTCATGCAGAGCAAGATCCAGCTATAGCCTATTCCCCGTTTCTACTAAATTCATGCTTTTCCCATCACTTAGCTTATCATCCCATCACTTAGCATATCAACACTGACATAAGAACTCACAAATGAAACAAAAAAGGAACAAGCAATTTTTATATATATTTTTATATAGATCCCTCAGGTAGGTTGGAATATATATGACAATAACTCACTAGCAATCAAAAACAAGATTGTTATTATTTTACCACAGTTAAAACACACACACACACATACACACACACAAACATACACAACAGGACTGTTATAATTAAAGTTCAAGTAGGCCAAACATCAGGTAGGTCACTCAGTTAAAGTAGAATAGCTAGGTAAAACTACCTTTTAAGAAAGCACTGTATACTTTTTAGTACATAATGATACCAAGCTAAGGGTGTTCTCCCTTTGATTTAGACATAATGACTCACCCAACTTCCCCTTAACAGCAAAATGAAAAAAGAACATTTGTGAAAAATTGGGTTTAATATTCTGACATACACAGTTGAAACTGAAAAGAGATGATACAAATTACCTCTTTAGACTTATCCCAGTGAATTTTAGGAAAATTAGGTACTTTATTGTTAAACAATATTAATTGCTTCCTTCTCCTCAATATAAGACCCAACACCAAATAAAGTAAAATACGCATGGATGCTGTTGTTTTAAAATGGCATTATCAGGGATGACTCTTGCTACCTATTCAGAATGTGGCTTAGATAAACTCTTCATACCAGGATTTAGGGGAGTGTGCTATGGCAGGCTAGGCAATCTCAGTGAGTTGGTGAAAAACTAAGTAACTTGCCCAGGTCACACAGGTAGTAAATGTCAGAGCCCAGATTAGAACTCAATTCATTAGATTCCACAAAGCCTGTACTCTTTATGAACCAATACAAAGCTATTTATATTTGACTCTGGAGCGCATCTTATGATCCTACAGAAATAGGAAATTCATCTCCATAACTCTTTTTTGCCCTGATTAATGTTTAATTTAGTCTGCCTTTCTGAACCACTGCAGTTTGATGGTAGCACTGATGATCAGTGATATCTTTAGTCACAAATGGAAAACTGAAAGCAAACTTTATAATACGAATTTTGTTACCAAAAATATCCATCAAAATGATAATCCTAGGATACTTTCAGTTAATTCTTAAAAATATTACTGGATGGATGGGCACCTGGGTGGCTCAGTTGGTTGAGCGACTGCCTTCGGCTCAGGTCATGATCCTGGAGTCCCTGGATCGAGTCCCGCATCAGGCTCCCTGCTCGGTAGGGAGTCTGCTTCGTCCTCTGACCCTATCCCCTCTCATGTGTTCTCTCTCTCTCATTCTCTCTCTCTCAAATAAATAAATAAATAAAT